TTTGCATAGTTTCTCAAAGAAGCAATGTAGATCAAGCTCCAATCTTCAGTCAAAATGGGGACATATTGAAACACTCTATGCTTAACTTCCACCTCAGCAAACACAATATATAAGCTGCACTGAAGAGTTCCCTAAATGGAGCTGGAGGAAATCTTCTGCTTATCTAGGATTGTGAATCTAGATGCTTCTTGGTCCGACAGTTTTTTACAAGATATTCCCCCCCCTCCCCAGGATTTCCCAGTCAGCAAAATGTCCTCAGTTCTTTAACATGAAATATTGGGCATAATTCCTTAGTGCACGGGAATTTATGCTATTCTCAGCAGGATTCATTATCAGCACCCTTTTTTCAATGCCAGTCTCTTCTGAGTAACACAATGGTTCCCAACCTTGGGCCCCCATACTGTATGCTCTTGGATGACAACTCCCAGAAATCCTGGCCAACAAGCTATTGGTGAAGGCTTTTTGGAGTTTTAGTCAAAGAACATCTGGGGACTGAAGGTTGGGAACCACTGCAGCAACACAACCATTTGAAACTGACCAGTGTGAAAGCTTGAAATTGACAGCAGCAACATCCTCCAGAGACCTCAACACAGCCCTTTGAAACTGACTAACATAAGAACTGAAAATTCCAAGGATAATAATCATAATGCAAAGCAGTGGTTCTCAGCGGTCTTGGATTGCAACTCCCAGAGGCCTTCCCTATCATCTATGCTGCCCAGGGTTTATAGGATTTGTAGTCCATGAACACCTGGGTCACCTAAGGTTGAGAAATTCCTTTTGCCAAATATAAATGAACTATATTGGACTAATAAAGATTATGTAACCGTGGATAGCACTGCACCCCTTTTTGTAGTTATTGCCATTATCAAAGCCTATATTTTATTTCAGCTCTTCCAGTACTAGCAATGTGTGATATGAGAGGTCTAGTGGCTTGTGGGACTATGCTGTAGTGTTTAGTTGGCATGGACACAAAGGTACAAAAAGGGATGTATCAATGTGTCTAGGAGTGAGGATATAATGAATGACTGATCTGTAGTCTGAATTTCTTGGTTTAGGAAATATAGCTGAAGCCATAATTTGTTTGCTGACAGACAGAACAGCAGTATCAGTGAATAATAGCTATAATGAGAGAGAAAAAGAGAGAGAGAGAGAGAGAGAGAGATCAACATGGTTCATGAGGGAGATCACCTGGAATCATAATCCATAATGATAGGTAGCTGGATCCACAGGATAAATGATCTAGACATATAGTACGTTGTGCTGAGGCATTGTTTCAGAGATCTAAAAGTGGGGTGTGCATAATTCATCATACAGTGCTTTGGAATGTAATCAAATGCCAATATCTTCAGAATGATCCACATTCTTTAGTTTTGCTCTCAGAATTCCATAGCCTTCACTCTATGCAACTGAAGTTCTATTCAAGAGCACAAGGCTACACGCAGTAGACTCATCCGTAATGAGTCTTTTTGTCACTCTCATAACAGAAGTCAACAACAACAAAAATCTGTGTGTCAGGCTAGAAAACAACAGTGGTTGTTCTACCTTCAGGAGGATAATTTATACAAGGTCACAGCAGCACCTTATTTCACCCAGTTGGAGCAGCCCAGGCATCGAAGGGCGTTTACTCTGGCCCGGCTAAACGCACTACCTTCAGCAGTGCAGGAGGGACAGTATAAAAAGATCCCCTGGGCAGAACGTCTTTGCCCATGTGGAATGGAGCAGATAGAAACAATTGAACATGTCCTGTTGTGGTGCACATTTTACAAGGATGTACATGAAGAACTTGACTCCCCTCTGATTGGCCGATTTTCCAGTTGTACAGAGCAACAATGTATGCATGTGCTGCTGTCTGACTCCAATCCCACTCTTAAACATAGGTTGCCAAATTTTTTACTGCTGCAATGGGCATTAGAAAAAGGATCCTAAAAGTGAATGAGCCTCTGTAGTTAGAACATGGTTTGCTAGAAATTCTGGAATTTCTTTAGGGGAGATGTTTTGATGCTGCTGTTGTTTACCTCAGAACCAAGTATTTACATTTGAACCCAATATTTTTGTATATCTCTGTATATTTATATATTCCAATGTTTTATTTGTGGGTGGTCTTAGACCGTGATAAAGTTTTATTCTATTCTATTCAGTGGTTGTTTGCTATCCTTTGTTCCTTCGAATCTTTGACATCTACAGATGTGTAATTCTTTCGGGAGCAGAGTTCAGAAGTAACTCATTATAAATAACCAGTTGCTTGAAATGAATTCCATTTTCCATAATGAAAATATAAACACATTATTTAACTTCTGTAGCCCATTTCCTGAGCTTGGAAGCAACATACTGCAAAATATTCTTTATCTGATCTGATGATTATAATAAAGGAATTGAAACATATTGCAAATGACACTTTTATCTGTGATACGCTATTCTGAGGATTCTTTTTTCTTATAATGGGTCATCAAGTTGCTTCCAACTTTCATAGGGTGCTCAAGGTAAGTGAGATGTTGGGCTGCTTGCCAATGCCACCCCACACTGAATTTCCCTAGCTGACTGGACACTTGAACTCCAGGTCCAACATCACACCATGTGCCAAATTTATTATACCAACTAGCAACAGTTAATAACAAACTATTTTAAAGAATGTTTCAAGGGTTGCTCTTCTTTTCCTGTTTTCTTCTCATGATGGTTATATTCTTTTACTTAACGTTTCTCTTACACATTTTTTCAGTCATTAACAACTCACATTGTGCCTGCCCATCATTCTCTACCTTCTACAGATTTGACACAGTTCCTCTAGTTTCCATCTCTACAAACACCAGCTTCACCAATATTTGATACAAGCTTTAGGTGTACATGAATTGCTTGCAGCTCTCAGTACTATCATATTCCCCCAACATTAGAGATCCCTCCTTGCCACACGGCAGCTGCAATGATTTACATCCTTTGCTATGTATGAAGAAATCTCTTCCACAACTCAACACCATGTACTCTATCTGTGTTTGTGTCTCTTCCCATTAAATATGGAAAGAGGCATGAGGGGAAAAATCCCAGTACTTATAGATAAACAAAAAACTGCAGACAAAAATTGTTGCCACCAGAGTCATCTTCTGCATTTCATTCCCTCCTCAAACTTTCTCCTTCACAATATGGCCCAACAACATTCTAGATTCAACAACAAAAGAAACTCACCTGTTGTTTTGTTTTTTAAGTGCAGTCTCAGCTTCCCTGCTGTTAACTGATTTATTTTTCAACCCCAAGAAGCCAAGCTCTCCCTTATTAACTCCCTAGTCCCTGACCACCAAACCATTCAGAAAAAATACTTTTGACTTCTATTTAGTTGAGATACTCAGATTTATATTGGAAACTGACAGTTTGCAGTCCACCTGAAATATATATTTTACCCCCTCATGGAATACACTTCTAATTACTTAATCCGCCACGTCAGTATGCGATCTTTATTTTAAAAACAAGTACAGTACAACTATAGACCTTGTGGAGCACTTTTAACTTGAAATATCACAGGTTACTCAAAGGTCAAGAACAAGATATTACGTGCCATATAAAAAACATATCTTGCATGTTAATTATAGTATTCCCAGTCATTCCATACACTACGGCCTAGCCTCAGGGCTTTCGCAGTGGTCAGTACTATAAGAATACCACCAAACCCTACTGAGGGCTGATCTTTCTTCCACATGTCATTAAGCACATGACATTTCTTCTCCAGAGGTCTATACAACTTTTTAAACACATCTGCAGTCGGTTTGTCATTGTCTTTTTCAAAGATGAAACCAGCAGGAAAGCTCCCTTTCTTTCTCTAGCTGCACTAAACTAAATATTAGCTGTGTGGTAAAGTAGATTAAGGTGAAACCTTTTTTTACTAGTCTGGAGAGGAGTGTGCATTTTCACACTGCCTAGACCAAAATATGAAGTTTCACCTGAATAATTCTTCAAAATAAAATCTGTATTTGATTACTGTTAATGCCTCCATCATTTCTGGAACACCAAATATTTTTCAAACCAGCAGATAAGATTTTTATTTGCATCTGTATGTTTAAAAGTCTAGAGCAGCTGTACAGAAGTTGCTTATGAGTATTCTTTTAAGGTGCCATAAGAATTCCTTGTTCTAGACAAGAAGGCAGAATATACAAAATAACAGAAACTGAATAACAATTTCCTTCCATGGAAAAATGAGAGAAAGGTTATATTTTAGTGGTGCTTGAATAGTTGTAGTTTTGTATGCAAAAGATCCTGGGTTCAGTCCATAGCAACTCTAGGTAGGTCTGGGGAATACTCCTGTCAAAAACACTCTGAAGAGCAACTTCCATCTTATGACCCTGATTGGCCAATGATCTGTCCACAGCTTGGAATAAACAATTTTAATGTAAGGAACTTTTCAGGTTCTGCCATAATACAGGCTGTAGTGGGCATGTGAAGCCTTGGTTGCATAAGAGTTTTATGGTACAGGGTATTTCAGAAAGAAACTCAGTGAGAGGAAGAAAGTAAGATTTAGACAACAAATGTGAAATATGATCATGTGTAGCTACTTCCTTGTAATTGCAACCACAGCCCAGTGCATCAGGGATAATGGAACTGCTTTCCCCTTCCTTACTCCCCACTCTGAAAGTAGTACACTAGGAGAACTGTGGTTGTGAGTAGCTGAGGAGGAGGAGGAGAAGGAGAAAGAGAAGGAGGAGGAGGAGGAGAATGAGAATGAGAAGAAGAAGAAGAAGAAGAAGAAGCAGAAGAAGAAGAAGAAGAAGAAGAAGCAGAAGAAGAAGAAGAAGAAGAAGAAGCAGAAGAAGAAGAAGAAGAAGAAGAAGCAGAAGAAGAAGAAGAAGAAGAAGAAGCAGAAGAAGAAGAAGAAGAAGAAGAAAGTTAATTTTTCATGCATATTGGTCTCTGGTCCAAAATGCAACTTTCACACTGTCATTGAGTAAGACATTGGGTGACAGGAGGAAACTAAGATTAAGAAAAGAAATATTAAAAAGTCATGCTGTGTAATTGCCTACCTGTAGCTGCTGCAATTCCATGCAAGGCCAGTTACCACAGTCAATGTGACTAAACAGTCACAGTTCTTCCAAATTCTAAGAATCCAGCCCAGGATCAACCAGAACATCAGTTACAATGTGATGAGGAAAGTCCTTTGACATCCGTATCTAGAATGTCTTGAGAAGTATTTATATTCTGTAAATAAAAAGGAGGGGAGTAAAAAAAGAGATTGAAACTCTTACACATTATCATTGAAACACTGGCAGATGAGAGAAATGGCTTCTTTACACACATTTAACCTGTGTGGAATACCTAATACCTGAGGTGTGGTATTTATATAGGAGGCTCTGAACCAATTCACACATATATTTGGAATCTATAGAACATAAGGGTATATAAATGAATCAGAGGGATCGCTTTGTATAACTGAGAACTTTTGACAAGCAAGATTCTGATCCTGTGGGAAAAGCCCATTACGTGCATTAGAGGTGGACAGAAACAGTGATTCATAAAATCATGAAATTGACCTTGTAGTTTGAAGAGAAATGGCTCCTCAAACAACATTATTTTCTTCTAATCATTTAGCTGATTGTGCAGCATATTTACACAGGGAGTAATTCCCAAGTAACTCACTGCAATTGAGTTCCAATTAGACAGATGCTCTCAATCTGTGATTACCAAACCCATAAAAATAGCATTTTATTTTATGTTATTTTCATTTGTATGCCACCTTTCTCTCAATGAAGGGATGCAATGCAGTTAACGTTATTAAAAAAAATAAACCAACTAAAACCACAATAAATTTGACACACACAAAAAATAATTAAACACATAGCAATATTGAACTGTTGGTCATAATAAAGATCTCCTGCTCAATCAATTAGTTAAAACTGTTTAAAAATCTTTAAAGACTCTAGAAACTCTCATGAAGTAATTATGGTGTCTGGTACTCAAAATCAGCCCAGATTAGTTAAATATAGTTTTCACTTGTCACCATAAGGATAAAAGTGAGGGGCCCACACTCTCAAGGGAGGGTATTTGACAACCTGGGAGCAGCCACAAAGAAGGCCGTCTCTCACAACCGCATTCTAATGTGCCTGAGATGGCAGTGGGACGGGGAGGAGAGCCTCCCCTCAAGATCCTCCTAAAAGCTGAAAAGGCTCATATGGTGAAATATGGTCCTTCAGATATCCTGGACTCTATATGGCTTTATAGGTCATAAAGAATGGGGCCTGGATTGCTCCAGGACGCTCCAGCAGCTGCACCAACTGCTTCAGCAGAATCCAAAAGTAAGAAAATCCATAGTAATCATCACCATCACTATCATCAACAGCAGCAGCAGCATCTTAGAACTGAAGAGCAGGAAGGAACCCTATGGATCATTGAGTCCAGCTGCTGTCAAAGAGGCACAGTGGGGAATCAATCTCGCAACCTCTTTTTCCACAGCCAGATATTAAGCCACTGAAGTATCCAGGAACAACGTCTTGCAGTTTGTGGATGGGCGGGAATCGGTATTGTGCTAGAACATGATGTGATGATTTCCATCCCTTTCTGTTTGTTTTGTTTGTAGTTTTTATATATGGAGTGGATTGCATGGTAGAATGAATGGGTTGATTGACAGATGAATGCTGAGTGAGTGACAGTTATGACAATACCAGGCAGTTGAGCTTCTGCCTCAATGGAAGTTGTTTTTGATTGGTTGCTTTCCCTCATCCAGCTGGGAGGGGGAAATAGTACGTTAAGAAGGAGTGCTTAGTTTAGTTAGCAAGGTTTAAAGCTTTAGTTTGTCAGTTTGTATTTAATGGTGACTTTATTTAGACATCTTAATATTGTAAACTGCAAATAGATGAGGCTTAGATTAGGAATAATTTGAAGGCTGCATGATACCTTTAGATTAACTGTATTGTTATTTTAATTTAATCCATAATTCTTCTTCTGTTAAAAAATAAACAGACAGAACAAGCAATGTATTTTTTTTAGTAATTATTTAGGCACTATTACCAAGGGGTTAGTGTCCTATCAGAAGGCTAAAGTAAAATTTTCTCACAGGGTGAAGAAGAGGCTCAGGTCTCCCTAGTGTTTAGACATCAGTGTAAAGGAGTGCGCTGGATGTCTGTCCAAGTGGCAGCAGAGAAAGAGACATGGACAGGAACTTCATGCATGGCTGAAAGGTGGCAGCCTGGCTAAGGGAGGTGCACATACTGTAGGTGGATGGTCTGTATCCTGCTGATTTTTGTTTCTAGAGCCTTCCAGGAAGAACAACAATTCACTCTTCACCTCAAATTAAGGCAGTAGGTGGGAACTGAAAGGAGCCCTGGGGTTGGAAAAATGACCTTGGGGCCTACATGCAGTCTGTTGCCCTCATGGTTTTCATCCTTGATCTACGTGTTATGGCTGGGGGAATAGGGAATTAAAGTTTTTTAATGAATGAATCTGGAGTTCATTAAGGTGACTTTATACACAGGGATGTTTAAGAAATGCTTTTGCATGTACCCCTGAAAATGAAATTGCAGAGTGTAGTCAGACCCTCAGTTAATTAAATTAACTAGTCTACACTTGGACTAACATATGTAGACTTGAGTGTAAACAAATACAGTGGTGAAACAAAGAGAACAGATATTCTCCCCCCCCCCAAAAAAACTACCTCCTTCCACCTGATTTGAAAGAGCAAGTGATTGGGGGGGGGAGCATGGGTTTGAAACAATAAGAGATTTCCCCAAATCTTCTGGAAGTCAGTAAATTCATTCAATACATCTCCAGATATTTTGTGATTTAGGAAAGGATTCCACAAAAGCTATCTCTAAATAGGTCGTTGTGTGAGAAAAGGAGAGTTTTGTCTCTAACTAGCTACTGGAAATTCATTCTTTATTAGATCAAGGCACAAATGAGGACTTTGAACTTCATACACTTCATCTTATCAAAAGACAGTTTTTTAAAAAAATCCTGAAGTTATTATGTACAAAAACTTCAATCTTTCTTGATTACGAGTCAATATTTGAAGTAGCCATTATGCAGTTCCAAAAAGATGACTCTGCTAAATGTACCTTTAACACTGAAGTGACAGAAGGCAGAACTAACCAACAGGATGCTCCACTGACGACGGTATTGTTAATGTACTGACTAGGGAGACTGGAAGTGTGTCTTTCCGATACTCTCTAAATTGCATAAAGACAAAAAGAGCTGAATGAGCCTTTGGAAAGCACACAGCTTAGTCCACCAACAATCTGAAGTAAATACTCAGGTATTCTGAGCCACCTGCTGCAAAGACGGTGTTTGAAGATCTAATGCCAATTGTCAAATCGGCGTCATGTTCCTTAGTGTCAAGATGCTGTTTTCTGAATTCACTGTGTTGACATTTGCTCCTTGTGGCAGGCAGAAGCAATCCAAGCTATTCCCATTAGACTAAAAAGCAGAAATAGTGTGAGGTGTCACAGCTGTACGGCTAGCCCAGTTAACAACCAACATAAAAGAGTGCCGTCTGACAAGGTCTGACATTCTTGTGTGTACAGTTCATCACTGTTACAGACCGCCCAGGTAATGCAGTGAACGTCAGTCCTTCAGCACACCACCAATGACATGACTGGGGAAATTGGTACACCAAATACTTTTGAAGCATCAGATTCTTTTCATTTTTTAAAAAAAAAAATCCTTACAATTGCACACAGAATTTATGAATGCAAATACCTGAATATAAACATGGCCCTTTGGGGTGCTTAATTAGTTAGGTGCATTTCATAATACCCATTCTTGGCACATAGACATTCAAAATGTGTTTCATTTAATTAAGAATATAATCACTCCAGACATGTTTGTGGAAGGTTGTTCTACATGTGCAATGTCAGGCTGAGGCTGTAAAATTCTTTTTAACAACCCCATCTCAAGATACTGCGTTTTAAATTGCATGACCCATTATTTATCTGCAAATAGGTTGCCTTTATTGTTATTGCTGACCTGACCACAAGAGTAATTTGTTGTGCTGCACATTATTAACAAGTTATCTTGTAATTACCAATTGGGTAGTGGGGAGGAAATAACCTTTGATTCTATCCAGTACCCAACTCTGATATTGCATTTTGGAAATATTTATAAAAATTCAAAAGACAAAAGTAAGGAACAATCCTCTTTTCATTTAAGATAAAACCTGAAAAATTCTTGACAAAATACATCTAAAAATGCCCTTTGAATATCTTTAAAAAGTAATTTCTAAAAGTAATTAGTGTTACTAATTGTACCATTGAAGAAATAACTATAAATTCCCTAAAGTAACTAAGGGTGTAATCCTAACTAGAACAAAAAGGACTGGTACATCCACTGAAGCTGTCAAGCAAGGATAGACGGTGGTCCCGGGATGTAAAATGGGTATCAATAGTTTATTCAAAGATTTACCCGAAAAGAAGTGAGAGATTGTCCACAAAGATATCCTCAGAGATGGATTCCACACAAGCATGATATGAGTGGCCCTGAAGAAGGCCGAAAGTGCAACAGCTGAAATGCATTGGGCTTATCTTTGAATAAAGTATTGATTGTTGTTTAGTCATTAAGTTGTGTCCGCCCCTTCGTGACCCCATGGACCAGAGCATGCCAGGCACTCCTGTCTTCCACTGCCTCCCAGAGTTGGGTCAAATCTTAATTCCGGCTTGGGATTCCTCCAGTCCAGCCTTTCATATGATGTATTCTGCATATAAGTTAAATAAGATGGGAGACAATATACAGCCTTGTTGTACTCCTTTCCCAAATTTGAACCAATCAGTTGTTCCATATCCAGTTCTAACTGTTGCTTCCTGTCCCACATATAGGTTTCTCAGGAGATAGATAAGGTGGTCAGGCACTCCCATTTTTATAAGGACTTGCCATAGTTTGCTGTGGTCCACACAGTCAAAAGCTTTTGCATAGTCAATGAAGCAGAATTGTTTTCCTGGAACTCTCTGGGTTTCTCCATAATCTAGCGCATGCTAGCTCTTTGGTCTCTAGTTCCTCTGCCCCTTTGAAATCCAGCTTTTTCTTCTGGGAGTTCTCGGTCCACATACTGCTGAAGCCTACCTTGTAGGATTTTGAGTATAACCTGGCTAGCATGTGAAATGAGGACAATTGTACAGTAGTTGGAGCATTATTTGGCACTGCCCTTGGGATTGGGATGTGGACTGATCTTTTCCAGTTCTCTGGCCACTGTTGAGTTTTCCAAACTTGCTGGCATA